CCCGCCCTTCAGCTATACGCCTTCCTGTGACACTTGCCAACATCATGATCATCATTTATGTGCTTGGATGTATGCTATTCTTTATTGGATTCCGGTCTCGATTTGGTTCAGTACAAAGGCCAAAGGCTTTCTGTTTTTGTCTATCTGGGTTCGGCCAGCATTGCCATGATATCCTTATGATCATTAACGAGACAGTCAGAGCACACTTCTCGTTCCCGCCAACCAGCTGCCTGAAATAGTTTTGACTACTGATGCGTCGAACAATCAGCAAGGGAGAACACAAAATTTTCGAGATGCCCAGCATGAGGGATTTAAGTCCAAAGCAGAAAGACAAAGCTGAGGTCACACCAATGCACGAATACACTGAACACTGAAGTCTCTTGGAAATAAAAGCCCTTGCAGTGGTAAGGTCCACGCATGCCATCAACCTCATTTGCAAGACACATTCTACTCCCTGTTGATTTGTGACTCTCATCATGACGGGTTAGACACTGGCATGGGAGAATGGGAAAAGTAGTACCAGCTCGTGAGAGGAATCCTTAAGTTCCAGTAGTGTCGATGCCGAGTCGCGCCGTAAGGGACATGCAAACACCTGCACAGGTAACCGAAAAAAGAACAGAGTTCAAACAACAGAAACACAGAACATTTCACTGATTTCGGTTAGTTGACCACCAAGCAGCTGTTACCGCAGGCAGCGGCTCAGCCGCTTACTGCACTGGGATTCATTTAGGAATTAGTAGAGATCCCGATTACGAATTCTGTTGACAAATTTTGTGGCGTTTTTTCAGAATTTGGGTCTTGATAGTGTGTCCCTAATTAGGAATTCCGTCGTTTTGAGATTCAGTTTTTGGCCGCTTCTCTCGTGTCCATTGGGCCGGCTTTTTTTTGTGCCAACAGCGTTCTGCTGGTTTACGCATTGGGGCTTGGGAATAGATAGAGGCAGCTGGTAGGACATTTGTTAGTTCCCTTGTTAGGGTTGATTTTAGTAAGAAATTAAGAATTCTATTTGGCTTTTTTTGGAGTTATTAGTGTTAGGAGTGCCGGTTTAGGCAAATACGAAAAACTGGTTAGGGGTACTTTAGGAGTTTCGGATTGATTAGCGTTAGGGTTTCCTCGCTTATGTTGCACATCTGAAGCAGCAAGAACGAACCCAACAGCTCAGACTTACGTCTGGTATGTTCAGAAAATGAACCAGAAGATATGCTACACACTGTTTGATGCGTTGTAGAGAGGTGACGGAATACCGGGCCAGGGCATCGGACCTCTGGGAATCCCTCTTCCCGACCCCCCTTCCCCGAGCACCCGATCCAACTCCTCCTATGGACTGACATCCCATCCCTGCTCGCTTCCACAAGTCCGAGAATATCTGGTTTGGAATGATCAGAAAGGTGTGACACTCTGGTCTATATGGAAAGAAAGGTGCAGCAGAACCATTGAAGGTCTTTCAACTCCGATGCAAGGAAAATAAGCGATAGCGAGATGACAGAATTCCAGATTGCAAACCACATCGAAAGCCAGATAGTCGAACGCTGTCCAGAAAGCAGAATTGCACGATAATAATACACCCAAAGGAGAAACCAAAGCATCGAACTCAATTGTCAACGAGAGCATATACTTGCCACCACCAACATTGCAATCGTAGCTCTTCCTCCTGCTGGCGCTCAGGGCCCAGACTACTATCCTACAGCTACTCCACTAGCTCTCTCTCTCACCGCTCAACCTCGTCTTCTTCACCCACGTCTTCTTCACCCACGTCTTCCAAACCAAGCCCGATTATGAAGGGCTTGGTTATGGTGCTGCCACTCTGCAGCGCCCTTCCTCTCTCGCTACCACACACGCACACGCTCCAGCACCTAGCGCCGCGAGCTTATGCTCAAGCAGCGCTGCTGCATTGCACACTGGTGCCTCCCCCTCTCCTGCTGCGCCCGGCACTTTCCTACATCGAAAGTGTGGGCGCACTGCCTGCTCTCTGCCATCCGGACCGAGTTTCCAGTAGCTTTACTCTCGGTCAAAGTGTCTGCACCCGGGCCCATTCAGACAGTGGCCTCGGACCGAATTGGTTAAGCATGCCCAACCACCCACGCACAAATGTGCGGTGCTCCCGAAATTGCTTTCACAACGTTGCTGGAAGAGCCTGGAAGGCTCACAAATATTTTGTGATTCTCACGAGCAAGGCGGATGTAACCAACTGGCGTGTGGCAAATGTCTGGCGCCCAACAAGATTTGCAAAAATTGATGAGTTCAGGGCTCAGTGAGATTCAGGGGCCCGCCTTCACTTAGGGTGGGCACGCGCTTCCTGCAGGGGCCTTATGCAGGTATGCTGAGGGGTAAAATCCTTGCAATTTTATTTTTAATGTTTCTATTTAACTAGGAATGACTGAACATATTAACTGCTGCAGTGCCTGGACAGTGGAACTTCCACTGAAAGGACTTCCAAATGGAAGATCCGTAAACGGCAACTTAATATTAAAAAAAACAGGTCCTTATGGCCCTGGCTCCATATATGCATTCTGGGTAGCATCAGTCCGGTTCCTATTCCACCGGCAAGTCAGATATACAACAGGGACACCCTCATGCTTCCTTCCGTTTGGCCAAAGGACCCCTGAGCAGCATTGACTACTCCAGATGCCTGGAGGAATTGACTGTCAGCTTTATTTATTTTTTTGTTTCTTCTCTTTCCGTCCAAGTAAATTATAAAAGTCCCATTGAGAAGGGACGTAACAACGACGCAAAGATCTTAGAGAAGGCAGAAGCACAATTTGCAGCCTGTGCTTGTGATATGTGGAATAGTTTATTCGAGAGCAATGAGTACCTGCATCTTAGAAAGATACGTACAAGAGAAGGGCCCACATTCAGATCCAGCAACAGGACCTAGCTTAGCTTAATGCTGTTCAGAGTGTTGGACCTGGTCCAAAGTTGTGCCAAATACAGCTATAATGACCGGGCGTTCTATTCGGGTGAAGACGATAGCATAGCTTAGTTAGTCACCGTGGGTCAGATCCAGACATAGTGGCGGTTCAAGGTCCCGCATTCTGGAGGTTGAGGATTGGAGCCGTATGCTCGATGAAGCCAAGAACATTTCATAATTTGGCATTTGCCGCACTTGGAAATCGATATATTAATCATGTCTGGCGAACGGACCAACAAGCGGACAAGCAGAGCTGTCCGATGGTACAGAAAATGAACCAACAAGCGGATAATTCTGTTCCAACCCTTTCACCATCAACGGAATTCGCTGCTGCTGCGTGTCAGGCAAACCCAACAGGCACACACAGAAATCCACTGAGCTGATGAGATCAACCGTTCATTTTAATAGTGATCAGTCACCAACACAAGGGAGACATGGCAATGACCTCTGAAACCACTCCGTTCACAACAGTGACCTGCTGGCGTTAGGAAATGCACTCTCGAAGCATGGCGCTACTACCGGTAGTGGTTTAAGAGGGCTGCTGCACCACGCTCTGCTGCACTGCAATACAGCCGCACAACTGGAGGGACCGTAAGCAAAACTTACCCCGCCAGTCTGGAGTTTCGAGTTTGAACTCATCTGCTCACTCTTTATTGCTAGAAAAACACTTGGAAACCTGCCCGACTTCTTCGGGTAAGCGAAAACGGCCCCTGTGACTAAGTAACGACCCAGGAAATGCCTAGTAGTAAGCGCGAGTCATCAGATCACGCTGATTATGTCCCTGCCCTTTGTACACACCGCCCGTCGCTCCTGTCCCTTCAATGGAGCGAAAAAAAAATTCAAAAACTTGAAAAAAGTAAGAACCCAGGAGCTGCATTTTCTAAAATTTTCCTTTCCACTGTTTCCAGAGAAAAGGTGGGGGGGGGGAAACACAGAGAGCTCTGGCGAGCACAAAATTCCTTCATGCCCCAAAAGGCGTTAATTAGCATCTCACAACAGGTTTTCCAAGCAAGAGTTGAGAGCTTGAGAGTTCAAACTTAGCTGGAGCGTGTTGGGTGTTCTGAAAGCGAGCAACTGCTCTCAATCAAAGGAAAGTTCTGCGATTGCAATATGATCAGGACGTTACCAGAGCAACATACTCCTATGACTTAGATTGGCCAAGAACTACCTACCTTCTTCCCCCCGAATACAACGTACTGCCATTACAGCTATAATGACCGTACGTACGTTGTATTCAGGAGAAGAAGGTAGTGAAGGGATAGCTGGGGTGCAGGTGACTCCTACCTGGTCCAAGTACTCGCTTGCGAATGGGAACAAAGCTTCTTTCTACTTCACAAGCCTGTTCCCTTGGAAAAGTCTCCCGCAGAGCAACAGCACCTGAAACAACTGCCAAAGCGGGGACAGACGGGATCCATCCAGGGGGGGGGGGGAGGTTGAGAGTCGTGGAGGGAGGAGGGAGGAAGAGACACTGAAAGAGAGGAAAATACAGCAAGAACGACGAGGACAGAGTCTCTCACATGATGCTAGAAACAGCAATTCGTCAAGGATCTCTGAGCCAACATGCTGTTGAAAAGACTGGAGGATTGAAGAACAGATGAGAACTGGTGACGGTGAGGATGATTTAACTAAAACCAATCCCTGAATAGGGTAGAAAGATTTTGAAACGCAAAACCGATACGTTGCCCAGACTCTAGAGGCACTTTTTCAAGAAGAAATCATCGGTGAGTAGGATAGAAAGATGTCAAAACGCAAAACCGATACGTTGCCCAGACTCTAGAGGCACTTTTTCGAGAAGAAATCATCGCTGAATAGGATACACGGGTGTCCAAACACAAAATGATACGTTGCCCAGACTCTGGAGGCATAAAGGTAATTTGCAAAAGTAGGCCCCAGCGGAAGAATGCTCTAGGACAAAACCATGAGAGCGGTACTTTCTGAGGAGACCACTAGATATGTTACTACTCTGTAAATGCACAACCCCATTGGTCATGCTCTGTTCTATTGAATACGTGACCCCTGTCCAGCACACAGTAAGCTGAATTTCTGGCCCTACTGCACAGTAGAAAAGCTACAGTCGGAATTCCAAAAAAAAAAAAAAAAAAGCTACAGCGGGGAAATCATGCCCTGGAATCTGACCGGCAGGCCAACTCACTAGCGCACCTACATCCATAACTTCTTAAACCACCAGTACGTGGCCCAGCTATGGGCCACGGAAAAAAATTAGAGTAGAAACATTTCTAGTCGGATGAATTCGGGCACTCCTGTGGTGGCCGTACGTTTCCTAAAATTGTGGCTTGTTAACAGGCACAACTTTAGGAAGTACTGGTTGTTTAATAGCTAAACAATACTAAACATGCTCCTGCGTTCTAGGTATTGCCCATCGCATGGGAGTCCTAAGAAGAGGCTTCTGGACTACCGATGACTATTACATTGTACAATTACTTGCAATTCTAATGCTATGCTATGCTATGCTACATATGGCTTCTCCTCCAGTTGAACTGCTCAGGTCTGGCATCCATGTGTCACACATTCTCCGCCAGTCGCACGTATCTCTGGCAGCACGTTGTCGCTCGCAAGTTAAGAAGTCCTGTTTGCAAAAAAACTGGAGGTCCAGTCTTTAAGCTACCATCCATCCGCAGCACTCTTCAGCTAACGGATCTAATGCTCTAACATGATGGTGGCCTTCTACTAGAGAGTATCGTTGTTGCGTGCCTCCGTTCAGACTTCATAGAGTCGAGGTGATTTCCTTGAGTCGAGGTTATGTTCTCTGTATTAGTGGCAAACACAGAGATATATCACAACCAGATACACATCGAAATCAACTTTCTTGTTGATGCGGCATCTCTCAGCAGCCATGCCCTCCACCAGTAATTTTTTCCTCTGCGTTTCCGGCAAATACAGAGACACGCTTCATCCACACACCCATCTGCTACATCCCTAGCGGCCACACCCTTGTCCAACAGTGAGGCAGAAGCAATTCTGGGATTCAGCGGTTAACTTTATGATCGGTGGTTAACCACTATATTACTCTGCACCCTTGGCGTCCCACAACCTGCGGTTAACATGCAGCCGTGGCAAAGGTTCGGCAAACAGGATCAGAAAGATTGATGACACCAAGTAGGGCCTCGAAAGAGGTTCGGTGAATCGGGTCAGAAAGGCTGACGGCACCCAGTGGGGCCTTGAAAGAGCGCAGTTTGGTATTTTGGGAATGAGCAAATCGAGTATTCAGAAAAGAGGCTTGACAATGCTGGTGGCTTCAACATTTATGTGTAGATCATAAATCCTGTGGAGCCTTAAAAAAAAATAAAAAAAATCCTGTGGAGCCTGAGGTTCACCCCTTAGCTTTGGAGCAGGGGAACACAAATAACACTATATAAGATGTCAGCCACAGGATTTCACTGTGCTCATCGACCGGTCAAAAAATTCATAATCGAGCTGCACACTTCCATAACAAATAAATAATACAACCGCCCTAATGCATTGCTGAGTGTAGCTTGGAGAGTGTGTGTATGTCAATAAACAGACTTCTGAGATTCATGAGAAACTCCGATTCCATGCAAGGCATTGCAAGCTGATTTGACAATTTCAGTCTAAGTTTAGTGGCATTAGTCCTCACCTAGCACAACCAAGTCGAGAGATATCAGGTTCTAAATCAATTCGCCAAGTATACTCCAGTTTAGACACACACTACCGGTAGCCATTTCTTATGTTATCTGTATTGTTTCAATTTTATGGTATGATACGGTTCGCAAAATTTTCCTTTACTTCGTTGGAAAGTTACGATATAACCTTTGCAAGTGCGTCTTACAAATCCATGTTCGTGATTGAAACACCAGCTAACACAACATGAGAACATGTGGTGTGTGCTGCATGCGCATGCTGCATGCGCATGCTGCATTGGCACATTCAGTTCATAAAATAAAACGGCAGAAAAACAAAAAAAGAAATGTGAGATTGAAGGGAGGAAAAAGGGAAGAAAATGGGAAGAACTTCAACGAAGAAACCTAAAACAGTAAGCAGTAAGATGTTCCTGTAGGCTATACCCAGCTGAAGTAGCCCTGAATTCCAATAACACCACGATGCCTTTCTGGGGTGCCTCGGCTGCCTCTGGCTGCCCAGAAAGGCCTGACCGGGCAAGGTACCAGCTAGGTACCAGGCAGCCCCACCACAAAATCGGGAAAAAAAAAACCCTACTTTAAACGAGTAGATTCTCGATTTTTTTTTCCTTGCTTTTTTTTTCTTTTTTTTTTAAGTAGATGCAAACAACTTCAGTCTGAGGGTGAATCAACACTGTTCACGACGCTTCGGCCGTACGGAAGGGTCCGTGAGTGGGTAACTGATGTAATTCTGTTATTTTGACTTGCTGGGGGAATAAGAACCGGACTGTCGCTCCCAGAATGGACATGGAGCCAGAAACATAAGGACCTGTTCATCTCATCCAAAAAAAAAAAGAACATCAAGCAGCACAATTGTCAACCACACACACTCCCTCCTTGAATGGCCCAGATGCACACAACATAAGCATTCGTGTGTTGACTGTGTTCCCTATATGTGTGTCCTTCAGATCTATAATTGTTATTAACATCATTACCATGGGACCAATTCCCTTACATGTCTGATAAGAAGGTATCAAACACACCATACCGAACAGGATGAAAACCTGAAAAAGCGAAGGAAAGGAACAAGTTATAGAAAACTCACCGCAAAACCACTAAAATGGAGCCCACTTTCTGCATCATCTCGCTCAATTGAACGTAATTCTCCAATCTGAAAACCAGATTACATTGAGGAGCCAGTAAAACACAGTTTAACAGGTAAGCAGAGAACAAATGCTGCGCTGAATGGGCTCGCAAGCACACGACCACTGTTTCAGAAGTAGCGGCGGCGGTGGCACTTCCAGTGGACACCGCTTTTAAAACCTCAACAGAGCAGTGAAAGTGGTTAGACATAGTTCTTCACATATCTGGGTAGACCAAGGACAGTAAGACTAACAATCAATACACAGAATCATGTATCAGCCTATCGGTTCATGGCAAGTCCACGCGGAAAAACATTAACTATCTCAGGTGTTTACAACTGCCAAACAAGACAATCGTCGGCGAACGACCGTCCATCATGGCGTAGGGGCGTAGTCGTCCATTGTACGTCCACCCTCCTGCAACTCCCACCCATACTCCTTCTACTGCTCGTGCGCTCCACCCCCCCCCACCCCCCCCCTTCCCCCCTTCCCGAACGTGATCCCTATGGATGGCGTCAAGAACTGCTCCACGCTGTCGTGTCCTTGCACTCATGGGCAAACTGTCAGTCCCTGACTCCTCCTGTGTATCTTCACAATCTCTGCAAGCCGCACTCCCCCCCCCCACATGCCTGTCCAATGCCTCACGTCCTCCTGGGGGATATATCCTGCTGTACCTCTGTCAGGCCCTGCGGACGTGAAGGAGTATTCTGTCCGCCCGCTACACTGGATGGTCATCCACCGTCCCGCACATCCTCCTCGAGAATATGCGCTGCTGTATCTGGCCGTTGTGTACCTCCAATAATAGCTTACCCTTCCGAGGGCGTAAGTCCTCCTGGGGGATATGTCCTGCTGTACCTCTCTGTCCTGCGGCTCCTGCCCACCTGCCCTGCGGACTTGCAGGAGTATCCTGTCCGCCTGCTACACTGGATGTTCATCCACCGTCCTCCACATCCTCCCCGAGAATACACCCTGCCGTCTCTCTATCCAGCCTTCGTGTACCTCCAGTAATAGGTGGCCTGGTGACTTGCCTGCATAGCCCTGCACAACTACTCTCAACCCTGCCGACTCTTCGGCCCCTCGGACAACAACTTTTCGGTAAGTTACGAAAAGCACCTTCAAATGCATAACGAATGTTCAAGACAAGGTACAGGACACACCGAAGCCCACAAAAAGCTTTTAGGGCAACAATGCAAAGATCTCTCTGAGCTCCATTTCTGCAGTTTTGCCCCATACAGCCACAGATAGTGTAACGAGCGTGAGGCTGAGGGTGAGCCGAGGGAGAGGAGAGAGAGGGAGAGAGTGAGAGCACACACACACACTCACTCACTCGACACGACTGACTCGGACTGAGGATCGGACGCAGACACAGTGGCAAGGCACAAAGTCGAAGTMTTGGATTCCGAATGCCGAAACAGCAAGTCACACTGAGTACGAGTACAGCAGCAGGGAACTGGTACGAGACTGGTCCCGTACCGTACGGGGAGCCGGTATAAGTACCGGTGACACGTACGGTACCAGGGGCATTTCTGCAAAGGCCCCGAGGGCAGAACTGAAAAATGCAGT